AATCGTCAGGCCGAATAGTCCAGTAGTAATGTCTCTGGCTGTATGTACCACTGGATGACGCAGCTTTGAATTTCAGACATGGGACATGAGTTCCTTCAATGTGGTTGCAGATGCGCCTTGCTGATCGATGAGTTCCAACTAGCACGAAATCTAGGTCAGGCAGGGATTCCTATCAATTGCCTCCAACCATCTAATTTCATAAAATCAATGTGCACCGTGATGGCGAGCTACCAAGCCAGTTGGTGGACACATTGAAAACCTGACTGATAAAATTAAGTCTGCACCGAACAAAAGACTAGACACATCACACTAGTTACTGGTCAGTGTCCAATCAAACTACACTAAGAAACAAATAAAATCCCAAACCACATATCTAGTTAGACAGTTAACAAGTATTAAGAAACTTACCTTAAATTTAGCCTACACGAGATCTAATGACATTGTGGTCTAACTAGATATTATAGTTGCAATAATCAATATTTAGTCATGTGATCAAATAATTTTAAAAATGAATACCTTCAGGTATCTAATTCTACTCATTTATATTTCTGAGAAAAGATTAATTAAAACAAGGTAAGTGTAGGATATTATTATTGCATTAAATGATAACAATCATTTTTAACTTATCATACATGTGATTATAACATTTTTTGAGGTTAAAATTAAATTGAACTAGCTACTGAGTACTATTATTAGTAGTATCGACTAACAAAGCATAGAATGGCAGTCAAACCTAGCTCTATCTCAACTTCACTGACTTCGAAAAGGCCTTCGACATATCAGCGTTGACCTAGAAGTAATTCTGAAACTGTTTCCACACCATGGCGTACACTGTCTAAGTCTTTGTCAACCCTATTCAACAGTTGGCTACATGAAAATGCCACCTGTCAGGCGATCTACAACGGAAAACTCACTCAGTGTGTGTGTGTGGGGGGGAGTGAGAAGAAACGATAAGATGACTCCAGAAGATCTGGATTTCGTGCACGGATAATGTATGTCTAATGTCACACAAACTCGAAGACTTAAAGGCAGGCGAAAGCCAACAAACTGTCTGAAGAAGCAGCAAAGACCGGGCTTCAAGTGAACGTAAAGACGGAGGCGTTGAAGATAACCAACCAACAGTAGCAACACCCAGCACCAATGAGAATCAATGGGAGGAATTCTCAAGATGTTACTTCATTCACTCATCTTGTGAGAACTATTTCAACCAACAGGAAGAGTGGATGAAGATGTACATTCTCAACACTCTGAAATTCGTTTGGAAATCTCGTGCACTCAGCATAAAGGACAAGAAACGGATATTCAGCACAAATACCTATATGGGGCAGAAATTTCGCTTACACATCCCGTAAAGCAGTTCTAACAGGTTAGAAACTATTGTCAACAACTGCCCACTTCGCTCCATATTGAAGATCAAACGGCCAGAAAGAATTTGCGGGAAAGAAACTCCGGGAACGGACCAATCAAGAAGCTATTGCTCAACAAATATATGGAAGAAAATAGAGATGGACTGGGCAAACATTGAAGGGACCGTTGGGTGATATCCCGCACCATGGCATTGCTTGAGTGGGACCCAAATGGGAAGTGATGAGTGGGGTGTCCGAGGGTGACATGGAGGAGACGAGGGATTATAAACAACCGTGGGACCAGTTTAAGAGGATCTCAGAAAATAGAACAAAGTTAAGACATGCTTTTAAAGCTTTCTTCCCCTCCTCACGTGTGCTCCTTCATATCGTCATATCAAAGTTGACACAACTGTGGTTGATAATGATTATCCAGACAAGTTTATAAGGAGAGTATTGAGTAGTAGTGTGAACACCAAATCTACTCTCCAATTTGCCACTAAGAAAGACGTGTACATCAAGCTCGACACATATTGAACACTGTGGTTAAAAAGACTTTCTATGCAGCTAATATCATAATAATTGAGAATGTGAAGCTGATATACTCATCTAAGTCATTGGAACATGTGAAAAATGAGATCTCGTCCCACTGTATTAACCAATTTGAATGTAAACACGGTCACACATACATAGGGAGGACTCACCAATCTCTGCAAGTAAAGGATGGCTTCAAAAGTAAATGGAATCCCGATGACCCATTAATGATGAGATCTAGCTCCTCAATTTCTAAGCATATTATAGAGACAGGACATAAAATTGATGTTTACACACCTCCCTGAAACCTATCTGTGACACATGTTTGGGTGACGGTGTATCTTAAAGTTTGTGGAAGCCACAGCCGGTAATTAGGTATTTTAAACCATCTTTATGCGTTTAAAAGAACAATTCGTTATCACACTAAACCACCTTTTCTTGGTAAACTTCGTTTTGATACCAGCCAGGGTAGATGTAATATTACTTCTCTTATTGGTTTAGTGGTATTCATTGTTATTTTTACCTTCAGTATGTCGTTTCAACTTGACCTAAGTCTATTTTCTCACCTCTAATCTCTTTATTAATTCTGTATATAAATTCCTATGACAAGTTCGTGTGTGATGGATCAGATTGTTCGAAATTTGTTGCGCAAATGTATTACACGATTAAAACAAATTACGTCTTCCTATTGCTTTATCTAAATTTACAAATGGAAATAACTGTTTTAAAGATTTGAGTTAACTAACAGACAGATAGAGAGATTATTAAAATATGATTACAGGTTGACGTCAGTTAGAGAACTATTGGAATACCTGGGAGTACTGGACAGCTGTTTTGTCTAAATTTTGCACTCTTCAACAGTACCCACCCTTGGGATCCGCATTCAGGACCTACCATTACAAGACTAGCTGGTATACCATTCAGCCACTGATACCTCATCCATTGACCCATGAATTCCAACTCCTGCCAATTAGCGATACAGTAAGTCGTAAGTAAATAAACTGGTGCGAATCACATTCACACTTTACAATGCACACAGTTCAATTGGTGCAAGTTTCACCACAGTTCCCTTTGGAAACGCAAATTATTCAGTTCATCCAGGTAGCTGGACAGAAATGGAGTGTAGTTTGAACTGATTCGGCTCATTCAGCTGAATCGAACTAGCAAGACCGCTGATAAGCTCGATCCCAAAAGAGCGAAACACCTTTCTATCAGTGTTTGGAACATATCGATGGCTTGGCTGGCCAGTAGATACTACTGGTTGATATGAGTGTCATAATACTACTTATTTCAATCAATCAATCAGTAGTATATAATTCTATGCAGATAGGTGAGAATATTTTACAAGTCCAGTTCTGAACATTTTGTTATCATCTAAGAAAGTCTTAGCAAAAGTTGACACTATTTACATGGAACTTTGAGTCGATTAAACGCTTGGAATTAAATTTAATCATTAGTCCTAGCATAATTTCCAGAAAATATCTAATTTCATACCAGTGATTTAACCAATTGAGAATGGTCTGTAACTACTGATAATATTCAGTAGTAGTGTAACAACAGAAGAAAAAAGGCTAGGTTGTTTATTCAGAAAATTAAGAGATATAGATTTTAATATACATTATTGTCAACGCAGAAGAGGCGTCTTCTGATTGGTTGTTTTCTTGCTGAAGGTTATTCTGTATTGTTTTGTAACTGTTTCTCAGAAAATTTAGCCAAATATCTGCGAATCGTATTTGCACACGATAAGTCCGCTATGATTGGTTGGTGACGTCCTTCTTCTCAAGGTTAAGCTTTGTTATCGTTTTTCCCATGACGTAAATTGTTGTTAACACTTTTGGCTTGTTCGTAGCTAGCTCTCACGACTGTAGCTTTGCCTGTTAAATGTCAAAGTGACTGCTCCAAACTAAATGGCTTTTTATCAGAAATCAGCCAGTGGTCCAAGGAAAACGGTTTAACCTTAAATCCCTTCAAATGTCAAACAGTCAATTTCACCTTTAGGCATAAATCTGACCTAAACAAACTGCTTAGCACTCACATAGATGACACTGAAATAGAAACCAAGTCGGAAATTAAATATCTTGGCGTCATTCTATCTGCTGATCTTTCGTGGTCGTCTCATATCTTCATGATTTCTAAGAAAATATTCCGTCTTACCTTCTACATCAAGAAGTTAAGACATTCTGATATAACCCAACCCTTACTCCTAAAATTCGTTACCTCTTGCATCCTGCCCATTATTCTCCATTGTTCCCCCTTAGTTTTCCCTGGGCTACTGAAGAAAGACTATACCTTATTACGCAGGATATTAAAGGTTGTCAGCAGGGTAAGCAATGCGCCACTTAACCAGCTTGTTAATATTCTGGTCGACAGGCACTTGGACTCATGTGAAAAATGGGCTAAACCCATTCTATCTATCTAACTCACACCACCCTCTTCACTCACAACTCTCCCTTGTATCTCATCAGGAAAAACCAGAAGCCTATATAGAAAACTATATGCTCGCACTAGTAAGTACCAAAACCCCACCATTCCCTACTTAGCTCGTGTTCTGTGCGATAAAGAAAGCATTAGGCGTGATACCTATAACTTATTAAATAGTGAGTAGAACAACTGGATATCGTCTCTCCAACTCATATCATTTATAGGTACAACGTTTTCTTTCTTTTCCTTTTCTCTTTGTTTTGTTCTGTGCGGTTTTGTTTTTCTCTTCTTTAGAAACTCTGCTTTAAACATTCTTCGTCGTTCTCTCACACTCTGTATATTTCGACCTTTTGTTACCACTTACGCCAGTAAATATGCCAGCATCTACTTTTCTAACAACTTCAAAAACTCTGTTCAATTTTAGCTTTGCTACCGACATGCGAGTATGTTGTTGTCATAATGAACTGAGATTACCTTTAATCTATGTAGAATCTTATTTATTGTTAATGTACTAACTGGATGCGCAATACTGTAGTAAAATGCTGAGAATTCTAGTCTGTATCACAAGCACTGTTTTGGAATAAAGTAAATTATTATTATTATAATGATTTGCAATTTCATTTATACATTTAATCGTTTAATTAATCAATTAATTAATTAAAGTATAATTACTGTCCTCTCTATTTTTATTTCCTATAGATCATGACAATTTCATTGGGAAATTATTTCAAAATAATTTTATGCCTTATATGTACTTTAACAAATTCATCTACTGGAAGTAAGTTATATTATTGTCATTTAAGATTGATCACAAACTGATTTCGGCTACAGATCAGGGAGTACTGGACAGTTACTTTTTTCTTGTTTGAGACTCTTTAGCATTATGCATTCATTAGCTCACCAGGAATCGAAGCCAGGACCTTCAGGTTACAAGGTCTGATTCTTCAGCATTCAGTCACTGGGAAGAAATCTCATGAATTCCAACTCCTTTTAATCTGTGATATACAGCGCGACCTCCCGCCAATATCCATCAAAGCGTATTTGTCTTCACAGGCAATTTGGTGAACTCTGCTGGTCGCACAGCTTTTCACTAGATCTCCAGGATCCTATCTTGCAGTCAGTCCCCAACGATAAGTGATCCAATCCCTAGTGAATGGGATCTGTTGAAGAGTTCCCAACTAGAATAAAACAGCTATCCAGTACACTTTGGTCTTCTATAGCTCTACACCCGAAGTCAATTGGTGCTAATTTTGGAAATCAATCAAATCCTTACAAACAAAATTGAATTTTAGATTTTTCCCGTCGATTGATTGGACCGAAGTGCTCAGTCTCAGGTTGACATGTCTGTTGGCTTCTTGTGCAGATGCTTCGACGAAGTCTGTGGATGTAATTGGGATTTAATTGGTGGATGGTGACTAGCCGTGAAATCCAGGATAACTTGTATTTCGTCCTATTTAGGACTCATCGGTGCCTGGATGCACCTGTATTCCCCAGTGAGTGATGAGGCTGCCACCACCGAGGCTCGAACCCAGTGCCCATAGAGTTTCAAACGCCAAAGCGTCATTCACTAGACAACTTGGTCCACGACAGCCACCACCTCTTTTGTAACGGGTCACATTAATTATTTAATTCAATATTAGATTTTCCGATCGATTGGACGAAATGCGTATTATCCTGGATTCCACAGCTAGTCACCATCCACCAATTAAATTCTAAGAATATATATATTGTTTACAGTAATTATCTGTTGCACTCAGCATAATGAACGAAATTTAGGCCAACAACACTAATGTCAACTCCATTGGATTGGTCACATACGCTGAGGAGACCATTCAGAGACAATGCACGCCAGCCTGGCTGTTAATTTGAACTTGAATGGGGAGGTAGAGATGTGAAACTATGGACAGTCGTCAACCTACCTAAGAAGACTGCAAAAAACAGAATAAAATGGACATATACTGTTGTCTTCGTTCATTACTCAAGATCGGATGGCTGGCCAGAAAGGATCAGCAACACGGATCTCTGGGAGCGAATCAACCCATCAGGAACCGATTGGGAAACAAATAGGCAAGAAGAAATGGAGGTGGACTGGCCGTACTCTGAGGATACCATCAAGTGACATCACTAGACAAGCCATTACTCGAGTGGAACCCGAAATGGAGGCGGCGAGTTGTTCGTCAGTGCAAGGGTGACTTGGAGAGGTTATGTGAAGGGGAGGTGAAAGCATGTGGGCAGACTTGGAACCGATGAAAACTCTAGCAGATAACCGAACGCAATGGAGACGCGTGGCTGAAGCCCTATGTTCCCCTAGAAATTATAGGAAATCATAATAGTGTTCCACTTCGAACCCAAGAGAATAATAATAATAATAATTTACTAGATGGAACGTTCAAATATCTACTCAGAGAACTTTAGTTGTTGTATTATTTACAGAAATATAAAAGTGGTCATAGATAGCTGTATGAGCTTTAGTCAAAAATTGTGTTGTAGGTAGTGTTGCGATGTTAGCTGGTTGGAGGCAATTGACAATAATCTCTGCACCTAGGTTTCGTGCTTGTTAACACTCGTCAGCAAGGCCTAACTGAAACCCTTTAGAAACTAATATTCCTCTTCGCCTTAGTACACAGAGATGGTGAGTCATCTGCCTACCTTGATGATGAAGCTGTAAATCTGACTCTGACAGAATTCAATCAGCATCAACAAGAAGGACAAGACCCCTGATATTGGTGATTAGCCCTCAGTGACAAGCCCATTATAATGCTACAGAAAGTTAGTAGTGAGGCCAAGCAACTCAATGGTAACATCTGTGGCCAAAATACCAGGTGGGCTTAGATCTCCCAGACGACTTCAGTCCCTTATAGATTTGCAATTCGGCCAATTTCGCTAGGTAACTCACCACCTGAATTCACTCTAAATTGTTGTTAAATGGTTGGAATTATTTTCTGCAGGAAGCCTTGAATCCCCGTTGCATTGTTGTAGCCTTGCTGACGATTATCAACAGGCATGAAACTTACGTCCAGATCTTCCTGCCGATTGACTGCAACCTTCTAATATCAGCTGTTCAGAGTGGACCGTCATGGTGAGGTACCTTGCATACTGGCCACATTGTAAACTTGACTGGTAGAATTCAGACTGCACCAAACTAGTTGGTATTACTGTGATGAGAGCTGTATGCAAACCGAAATTGTAGACAACAATCGACGTCATTGTTAACCTCCCGAATCCAGGTCATGAGAAAAACAATCACAAAGTTGAACATTGAAGAACTCACCAACCAATCACAGCAGACTTAACGCATACAAATACAATTCGCAGATATATGGCTTAACTTTCTGAAAAACAGTCACAAGCAGTACAGAATAACTTTCAGCAAGAAAACAACCAATCACAAGAGGTTGCTTCCCCGCTGACAATAACGAATAATAATAGTGTACATGAAAATCTATAAATAGCTCTTGATTTTTTAAGTAAACGATGTGTTGCCTGACTCTTGTCTTCTGTCGTCACACTACTATTATTTTCCTTTTGCGTTCACAGTAGAACGTAGGGATTCAAAGACACATATCAATTTTTACCATTCTCTGTGATCCACTTTAGCTGGCCAGACGACTGATCATACATAGTATCTCATCTACTTCTTATACGACCTTCTTCCTTTTACCTTGGAGGCGACTCGCGTTTTGTCATTTGTTATTCAGGTTCCACTCTAGGGTCTGGCTTTTGGTGTCATTCAACGCTCTTCTCATTGTGTTTGTCCAGTTCATCTCTATTTTATTCGGCATATTTTTTTTTGAATTTACAGCTTGATTCCACACCGTATTTTGGTACAAGTATGGAATTTTCAGCATGGATATCGGTAGCCCAAATTTTGCAGGCCGACCATAGATATCAGGTGTGCGCCGGCGTGGGCTCGAACCCCGGACCATGTGCATGGTCGGCGAGAGTCCTAACCACTGTGCCACCGACGCACAACGATCGGTTCTTGGTTGGTTTGTTCCCCACGGTTGCTTGTTGCTAATTCTTTCTGACTGGCCATTTGACCTTCGATATGGAGCCAGCGGATTCAGTTGTTGATAAAAATCTCCACTAGCCTGCCCACTATGCTTTTCTTAAAGCTGTAGTCAAGTTTCCAACTCATATAGGGGAAATGACTGATTTGACACGGGGGTTGAAAGTTCAAATTTTGTTTTTTATGCTGCATGTAGTGGGTTCCTACACCCCGATTTATGACAGATGAAGACTTGTCTTGCCTTTCTGATTCTAGTTTCAACGTTCTCACCTGTTCCGCCTAATGGTTGAAACTATGCTGCCTTGATAAGTGAGGAAAGTGACTTCTTTCAACTTACTCCCGTTGATATCGACTGGGGTGCTTGTTGTTGGTTGGTTGGTTAGATATCTTCATCACTTCCGTCTTCTTCATGTTCACTTGGAATCCTGTCTTCGATGCTTCTTCTATCATTCTGTTAGTTCTCACCCTTAGGTCTATGTGACACTAGACATAAATCATTCACGAAATTCACATATTCTAGAGTCTTCTCACTCCTCACAACCTACTGTACAATCCAGTCCACCACAATTAGGAATATCATTTGTGACAGTGTGGTGAGAACTGTCCGCAAGCCGAAATTGTTAGACAGCAATTGACGTCAATGCTTACATTCCATATCTTGGTCATTAGAAAAATAAACAAGAATAAAGACTAACTCAACAAAGAATCACAGAAGACCTTGGTGTGGGTGGATACGATTAGCAGATGTATCACCAGACTGTCTAAAAAACGGCAACAAAGAGATGATGGAATAACCTTCAGTAGGAAAACAACCAATCAGAAGACGTTGCCACTTCTCTGCTAACAATAACGCTAATAATAATGTACATAAATATCTGTTTGTTTTCTCAATAAACGATCTGTTGCCTGATTCTTGTCTATGTCGTTACAATTGTAGGCAGCCAGCCAGCTAGCTTGTCTTACTCTCGTATAAACCAAGAACTAGAAATATGACATCAATTACCAATTAAAGTGTTCCATGTATATATAAGTTATGCAATTTTCCAACAGTCAGTAAGTCCTCAAGTATCGGATTTTGAAGAGATTTAGTCACTAGTGAACATCATCACTAGCGACTGTTCAGTTAGGCTATTGCCTGGGGTTTTAGTGAGAAGCTGTGGCTAGTAGTGTACGACAGGTTGAAGGTGAGAACAGTTACTCATTGAAGAAGACATTACGAAGTGGTCGCGCTTTGTCATGAGTTGGCACAAGTTAGAATTCATGAGCTGACTGGCCATTGGATCAAGTTCCAGTGACTTATTGGTCTACGAGATCGCTAGCCTTGTAACCAGAAGGTTTTGGATTCAAACCCCTCAGTGTGGGGTGCGTACCGATGAAGAGTCCCAAACTAGGGCGAAACAACTGTCCCGTACTCCTTGACGGGTTTTTTCTAAGGGTTCCCTGACTGATGTCAGCTCATGATGAAATCCTCCAACAAGTCAGTAAGTTCCCTTAACACTCTCCTTGTCTTATGCCTGTATATTCTTATATCACTCACTTGTATAATACTCTATGCGACCTATTTTAGTTACTCACAGGTCTTTTTTTTTACTATAACCAACAGAACGAAAGTGCCCAACTTTCATTAATTATATCCAGAAAAAACATGAAATCGATTTTCCAGAAGAAAGGTACAGTAAGTTTTCTTAAGACTAATTAATATTTTAACTGATTAAAAATGTCCATTAAAATTTTTTTTCAAAAGAATGTTTACTGAACAAAAAATACTCTTTTCGATAACCTGCTTTTCATCAGGTTCTACAGTTATACAGCTATACATAATAGTGAACGAATTAGTGCTATCAATCAAATCAATGTTGTTTAGAATCAGTAATATCACAATGGATTATAGTTCCACAGCTTCAACATAAAATAACAATACTCTGAATGAACATCAGAAAAATTAAAAAAGGTAACATTACAAATTCATGAGTTTATATTCTCTACTGAAGGCCGGCCAGGGAAGTAGTAGTGGCTGGACTTGCTTCTTGTGCACACAAAGCACTGGTTGTTTCACACGAAACGTGATAGCCTCTGCTGTTTGAAGTATGCGGTACCTGGATGCCTTTTCACAATTTATTTGGTAACCGGTAGATGACAGAGAAAGATTCTTCAATGCTGGCTTTATGGCAGGCCGATTTGGACCAGGTGGTCTAATATCGAACTTTTGATAGTTTTTACTCCACCTTTATTTAGCCACACTGATAGATTCCCGAGTGAGCACGAAAAATCAAGTTCCTAGAGCAATGACAAATATAAGTCGCTTCACCGCAAGCGCAATTGAATTGGTAGATATAATTGGAAGTGGCTAGTCTAGGTACTTCATCTTTAAATGGAGGAATCACCATTAGTCGTGTAGGAAATGAGACTTGTAGTTTGTCAGCATTAAAGGTTCTTTGGATTGATTTTCTTAATTTCTTCGTAATTATTTCACCTTTGAATTGTAGTCATATGTATAAAGGCCTCTTGTTTACAAATAGTGAGTAGTCCTTATCCGCTTTCTTTGTCATGTGTTTCTTGATAAATTACTATGGATAGCTATTCTCAATCAAGGTATCATATACAATGCTTAGTTCATCTTCAATCACTCCTTCTGAGCATATAGCTCCTATCCTGTGGCTGAGGGTCTTTACTAAATTTCTTTTCTACTGGAGTGGAACGAAGCTATGAAAACATGTATATTGTTCCGTCCAACTACTTTTCCTATGTGAATTTTTCTTTATGCTATCATCTGGTTTTCTTGTAAAGAGCAAGGCAATTCTATTTTGAGGGATTTATCTTTGATAGGATCCCACATATTTTGGTATTGACTGTTAATCTTGCATATATGGTATGTTATCATTCTCACACATTTTGGTAGTGACTGCTAATCTTATATATATGGTATATTATCATTCCCACACATTTTGTTATTGACTGTCAATCTCGCACATATGGTATATTATCATCTCTCACGCACTTTGTTATTGGCTATTAAGATAAATTATTTCAAATGCTGTTAGCTGTCCATATTGTTGTAAAATGTATAAATACCATGGCTTTCTTTGTCGTTGTTGCACTTCAATACACAGTCACAGTCCAGCCTTTGTCTTTTGATATTTGCGTGCTTTACTAAATCGGAAGGTACGACAAGCAGATAGGCAGATTAGTTCAGGCGCAGACAGAGCAAGGTGAAAACGTCTTCATTCAATTCCCTACAGTTATAACAAATTGGCGACGGGGTTTTACCTTAATTCATTGCAGTTATAGCAAGCAAACGACGACAGTTTTTATTCTGTTCAGCGCAACTATATAACATTTTTGACTGTGTTAATTACAACCCAATTACAATGTCTATCTCTCTGGACGATCTCAAATCTATCTTGCAGCAGCAGCAAGTTCAGAATGAAGCAGCTCAACTAAAATTAATCGAAGCTCTCACTCAGAAGCTGTCCATTCAAGTTCCATCAACATCTCATTCTGACAAATATGAAAGCATCTCAAATTCCATCAGTGAGTTCAACTACGACCCAATATCTGGTCTCGTATTTGATGCATGGTTCAATCGTTACGAAGACGTTTTCCGTATTGAATGCTACATGTTTGATGATGCTGCCAAAGTCCGATTGTTACTAAGAAAACTTGGTACTGTTGAGCACAACAGATATGTTAACTTCATTCTGCCTAAGAACCCACGTGAGTTATCATTCGATGAGACAGTCACCGTTTTATCACAAATCTTTGGTGAACAGTCATCCATGTTTAATATTCGGTATCAATGTTTTCAGTTGACAAAAATGCCTTCCGATGATTATGTGACTTACGCTGGCAAAGTGAACAAGGAATGTGAAAGGTTCAAACCACACGAAATGACATCAGATCAGTTCAAGTGTTTGATTTTTATTTGTGGGTTGAAGAACCCAGAAGATACTGACATACGAACTCGACTTCTGTCACTTGTGGAACAAGACCCGAAAATGACTTTACAAATGGTGACAGCAGAATGCCTACGTTTAATCAACTTGAAGCACGATACTGCTATGGTGGAGTGCAAACGACAGTCGTCTGAATTTGGTTCGATTAACACAGTGAAAAGTCCTCCGATCACCGTTAAGCACACAGAACGTCAGTCTCAAAATTCAGCTAAACCTCCTTCAGTGTGCTGGCACTGTGGTTCGTGGCATTTTGTCAAGTTCTGTCCTTTCAAGAAGCATAAATGCCGTAATTGTCACCGTTTTGGACATAAGGAGGGTTACTGTACACCGCAGAAAAATTCTTCGGTGAGGAACAGAAGTAGTCGTTTCAAGCCGAAACAATCTCCTCGAGTACAGACCGTTTTCACTACTTCCAAAGTCGAGTTCGCCAGCAAACGTAAGTACATAACACTAGATATTAACGGCAAACGTATTCGTCTTCAGTTGGATACGGCATCAGATATCACCGTAATTTCCCGAACTACGTGGCGCAAACTTGGTTGCCCACAGATTCTGCCGACCGAGCATGTCGCCAAGAATGTCTCTGGAGATATACTGAAACTCGTGGGTGAGATAAATTGCCAGGTTCAGTTTGGTGAGCATCACTTCAATGGTGTATGTTACGTTACAAACTACCATGATTTGAATTTGCTTGGTCTTGACTGGTTAGACAAGCTCCATATCTTTAATGTACCATTAAATTCAGTATGCTCTAATGTTTCGTCTTCACCACACAACGTTGTTCCCGGAGATGTATCTGATCAATCTCTCTTGCAACGCCGTCGTCAAAAGCACGCTTCTGTCTTCCAGGACAAACTTGGTTGCTGCAAACTGTTTGGCATCCAGCATATTCGTAGCCCCCCGTATCATCCCCAATCGAATGGACAGACTGAACGTTTCGTCGACACCTTTAAGCGTGCTTATGCAAAAGCGAAGGGGGAGGGAACAACAGAAGAAATTTTGGATAAATTCTTGCTGCATTATCGTACGAATGAAAAAGGACAGTTATGTGTCAGACACACAGATCACGCTCTATCCAGTACCACGCAAAGGTCAACTCGACAAAGAAGAGCTCCGAAACCTTTTCAAATAGATCCAAAAAGCAAGTCCTACACTCTTTACGGGGGAGGTGATAGGATCCCACATATTTTGGTATTGACTGTTTAATCTTGCATATATGGTATGTTATCATTCTCACACATTTTGGTATTGACTGTTAATTTGTATATATGGTATATTATCATTCTCACACATTTTGGTAGTGACTGCTAATCTTGTATATATGGTATATTATCATTCCCACACATTTTGTTATTGACTGTCAATCTCGCACATATGGTATATTATCATCTCTCACGCACTTTGTTATTGGCTATTAAGATAAATTATTTCAAATGCTGTTAGCTGTCCATATTGTTGTAAAATGTATAAATACCATGGCTTTCTTTGTCGTTGTTGCACTTCAATACACAGTCACAGTCCAGCCTTTGTCTTTTGATATTTGCGTGCTTTACTAAATCGGAAGGTACGACAAGCAGATAGGCAGATTAGTTCAGGCGCAGACAGAGCAAGGTGAAAACGTCTTCATTCAATTCCCTACAGTTATAACAATCTTCCCACGTGAATTTCATATTAGAATGTACTTGATTGAACTATGTGCATATATAACTGTAGAACCTGATGAAGAGCAGATTATCGAAAACAGTAGTCTTTGTCCAGTGACCATTCTTTTTGATAATTAATATTTTATCATTATTTTAATATACTACTTTAAAATGATAAATTTAAACACGATAACATTGTCACTGATTTATTGATTATTTTACAGACAAAGCAGAATTGTTCTCAGCACTCCATTTACCTAAATAATTAGAGTTATTTATAAATACAGTTCATAACATTTCATTCCCATAGTAAATTTTAAAAAAAACAACAACAGCTGTGGAAAAAATAACAGCAATATTTAATGAATTCGTAAATTTCGGTAAGTGAACTCGTCAGCTGAAAGCTCTTCTACAGACACTCTTATTCATACACTTTTGTTTCTAAGGTATCTAAATATCAATGAGGGTGAGTGAATATGTCTAAGTGATGTTGGTTCTTGGTGAAATCTAACAAATGGAATTAAATAAATAATAAATATTAGTAGAGTATTCAACTGACAAGTCCTGGTGAAGCTTATGAATTCAACAAATTCGGCTTTAATTCATGACCGTTACTCGTTTTAAATTTACTGCGGAAAAGAAATGTTATCAACACTGATGATTTTTTCGAAGTAAATTTGTGGATGGTGACTATCACTGGTGGAATCCAGCAGGCGCATTTCGTCCTATTTCAGACTCGTCACCTGGATTTACATCTGCATTCCCCAGCGAGTGATGGTTGATGCATTTTATGCATTAAACCTTTTCAAATCTTTAGGAGACTTTAATTCTATGCAAAACTGAAGATATACCTTGCTGACGAGCGCCAAGCAACATAAAAACCTGGGTATAGAATATGCTGACGATCACCTACACTTCCTTAACGTCTAAACGTATCTTTTTCTCTCATAAACATTTTGTAGATCTACAGTGTAGTGACAATAATACTCAATGTTTACTTTATGTATACCAAGAAAAGTCTTTTTGGGATGCACATAAAATTTGTAAACAATTGACGGGTGATTTGTGGGTACCAGAGACGGATGTAGTAAGTTACACTTTACAGTTGGATTTCTCCTTTTAAGAACATTTTTATGTTGCTTATCAGACACTATGTATAACTATTAGAAAACTCTTACATGAATTCATCCATTTATAATATTCGTATGTTAGGTCTAAGTGAAATTAACTGTGATATCATGGTAAATTGCAGGTTCGGTCACCCAATGAAATCAGTCAAAATACTGCTGAAAACTATGGACTACTAATGTAACGACAGAATACAAGGGCCAGGAAACAGATCGTTTTATTGAGAAAATCAACAGATATTTAAAGATTTTTGTCTACATTATTATTAGCGTTATTGTTAGCAGAGAAACGGCGTCTTCTGATTGATTGTTTTCTTGCTGAAGGTTGTTCTGTATTGCTTGTGGCCGTTTCTCAGGAAGTGAAGCCATATGTCTGCGAATCGTATTTGCACACGTTAAGTCTTCTGGGATTAGTTGGTGAGTTCCTCAAGGTTAAGCTTTATTATTGTTTTTTCTCATGACCCCAATTCGGGAAGCAAACATTGTTGTTAACTGTTGTCGACAATTTTAGCTTGCAGACGGCTCTGACCACAGTGGCAGCTGTTTTTTTCTTCTAGTATGAGGCTCTTCAGCAGTATGCACAAATAAACCCACACACCGGGGTTGAACCCAGGACTTCCAGATTGCGAGGCAGGCACACTGACTCTTCACCCACTACGATGGAACCCAATGGTCCATGATTTCAAACTTTTACATATTCCCGAAGTAAAGCACCATTGACATCCTGGTGGTTTGTCACCAGGAATATCAATTGTTGTTGATGCTGGCTGAGGGACGAAGATTTCCAGAATGGTTTCAGGTTGATGAATGTGTTTCTCGCCTGCCTTCCTGATTCTCGCTCGATTTGACATCCTCGTCCGTTCCCCCTGTAGTTAAGACAATGCTTCCTAGATAAGTGAATGAAGTAAGCTCTTTCAAATTCCTCCCGTTGATAGTGATTGACGCTGGATGTTGCTATCGTTGTTGTTGGTTGACTGGTTATTTTCATAACCTTCATCTTGTCTGTGTTCACTTGGAGTCCTGTGGGTAGTGATAGAGCACTATTTGTGTTGACTCTGTCATGTCTTTTCAATTTTTATAACTCACTTTAACGTTACAAGTGGCAGTTTATCTTGGTATAGGAATCTAAATCTACTAAAATTTTACTATTATTAAACTTCATCAATTTTCTGTGTTCCTGAATATGGTTCTGTAGGAAGTCAATAAATTCTGTAGTTAGTTGTACACGACTGGCAGATGTAACGCGTTAACATAAACCACTCATAGATTGTGACAAATTTAAACTATAACGACTCATGGAATGTGAACGCACGGGTGACTTTCAGCCAACCAGTTGGGAAATACATTGAGTGATTTTTGCATAGAAATAACGTTTACTTACAAGAGAAATACATCAAAATACATAAAACCAAATATTTTTCCCTGACATGTCTCAAAAATATCTCCAAATTATTATGAAGAGCATCGGTTTCCAAGTTAAACCATTTGTTGTACATGCCTTCACCGAGGTGACTGAAGATGAGCTCTTATTGTGACCTATTTATCTCTGTTACACAGTCTTGTAGTCTCCCCCAAAAGACCTAAATTAAATTAGCACGCGTTCCAGTAAGAGGATCTAATAACTATTTATCAGGAAAATGAGGATAATAAAAAAACATGCTATTACCAACCTCAAACCTAATGGTAACCTTAACCTTAATCCTAACCCTAATCGCTACCGAAACCCTAACAAGCCATTAACATATCGTCCGAAAAGTACTTAAAAATGAGATCAGGATGAAACTTACGCTTCAATTCGCGCACAGCGTTCATAGTGACACTACTAGAGTAATAGTAGATCCCTTTATCGAACGAACAATAAGCATTCTAGTTCATTGGTGTATACGTAATCCTGGCTCAGATTGTCTTAAAAACCTAGTTACTTCCCACAGATATTTTTGATGCTAAACTGTTATTTTGAAGAATGACCAAATCTTCCCTTCTCTTCCCTCTATTCTCTGTTTTACGATAATGATGGTGGCCTTATTGTAGATAGTATTTATACAATGTTCAGAATTTTCAGCGGAGTTTATTGTATGATATCTTCTCTTCGTAGAGGATCTTCAGATAAAATATTGATTGACAGTAGATCCTGTGATATAATGCAGTCTGACTTGAAGCACAAACCAATCCACTATGACAATTTTTCTCTGTCTCCTTAGAGAAATGTACGACATTTGATTGAAGGTCAACTGTAAAACGTTCAGGGGTTCATTTTGAGACCCAGGAACATAACTCATGGACGAAATTAAACTTTAAGCACCAGTACCAACGCACAAATGACCCTGAACGCACCAACCACATGATAAAGGCGATTTTTAAGTATGAAATACATATATTCGCATGAAAATAATGAATTAAAAAGCATGAAACTGTTACACAAGATATCTTTCTCTGACATGTGATAAAAATACCTCTCAAGTATTGGTTTTGTAGGGATTTTGTGTTTGATTGCATAGAGGATTTCATCATGAGCTGATATCAGTTAAAGAACCGCTGGAAAACCAGCTGGGAGTACTGGACAGCTGTTTCGTCCCAGTTTGGGACTCTTCATCAGCGCGCACCCACGTTGCGGGGTTCGAATCCAGGACCTTCTGGTTACAAGGCAAGCTCGTAGACCATTGAGCCACTGAGACCCGATCCATTGGTTCTTGAATTCTAACTTCTGTCAGTTCACGACATAATGCGACCATTTTGCAATGTCTTCTTCGATAAGTTACTGCCCCATTTTCAACCTGCTGTACCCTACTGGTCACGCCTTCCCACTAGAACGCCAGATTAACTGCCTGAATAGAACCAGTCACTAGTGAGCATCAGATTAATTTTCAAGTATTGGTTTTGTAGGGATTTTGTGTTTGATTGGAGTGTCGACAGAGTAATTTAACCATATTCTGTGCATAGAATTATCTAAGTCTTTTAACCCTGACAATAACCTTAATATTTCGTTAACCTAACCCTGGCGTAAAAATATCCCTAAACTAACTCTAATCTAAGCCGAACCAACTCCACTGTTGCCCCCGTTAGGTCAACCTAATCCTAACCTGTTTGTAGTCTAAACCTTAACGTAATCGCGTTCCCTAACTTAACCTGAAACTTACCAGATATCCCGTTTAATAAAATAAAACTTCATTAAGCATATTTTTATTCTTGATTACAATTTTATTATTGTCTAGATCTCACTAATGTTGCTCATTGAGCATTTCAAGGTCACTAGTGCGGTTGCGCTCTATTGGTAATCACTTGTGTGCTCTGTAGTACTAAATCCAAGCTTTCTTTACAGCTGTGAGACATGACCGTTAAAAGTGGAAAATGAAAAGAGGTCAGTCGTCTTTTACTGCAGCTGTCTTCGTTTAATTCTTCGTCTTTTGAGGTGCAATGTGGTAAGTGATATTCAGGTGAAGTAAGAGTTTTAGGTAAGGAGGGAAAGGCAATCAATCAAATCATGAATTTATATACATTGAGATGTCTAGGTCACTTTCTGAACAGGCAACTCTGAGCTGTATTCATCGGTATACTTATATTTCTCTATTTCATTGTTTTTTCCACTGAAGATAATTCATTATGATTATTGGATTGGTATATATAAATTACTAACAAGTGATGATATTGATGAACCAGTATGGATGACTATGACACATCATATTTTAAATAAAGAGTAAGTTGAACAGCGTGTTAATGTACACACACACACCTTTGTTGAAGTTGTAAATTTGAAATCAAGACATTTTTCAGTAAAACATGAGTTACATACTATTATTAGATTGGGTTCCAGGAGAAACGTACAGCTTCATCAACACGTCTACATTTCACTCTGTTCTCCTCAGTCCTCTACGACAGCCTGTAGTCTTTCGACTCCTCCTCACATCATCTCCGCGATATCACTCTCAGACCCACTCACAACACGTCCTTTACCATTTGGGTTCCATTTGATGTTCTAGCGAACACATGAGGTCAATCAGTGGTCTCCTTAGCACATGCCCAACCAATATCCATTTTCATTGAGTGTATTTGTTTGAGTGGTAGATTCCTGGTTGGTGCTCATCCATTCTGCTTATGTGATCTTCAGTATGGAGGCCCAAGAGGGCAGCTGTTGATGGAGGTCGTTTACTGCAGCCTGTTGGAAAGGTCTTTCATATCACGTGCGCCACGTCTCTGAAGTATATAGAAGCACTATCTAAATTGCCATTATTCTTGAAAGTTCGAATCCTGTTCTTTATGCTGATCTCATCGAATTTCATCAGAACGATGAGTGTGGTTCAGATGAAGTCAAGATCAACACGTAATTAGAATAAGGGCTTTCTTTTTAGTAACTGTGACACATATAAACCGACAAATTATGAATAAGGGTAATTGTTAGTCATACTATCAGTAGATTTTAGCCGATTTAGTAATATAGCGTCTTTTAAAAACTATAGTTTCATTCTAACAGTATTCAGGGTTCCCTTACAATCCAACCTTGAAAACAGTTTATTCTGCAGGAATTAGCACGAATGAAATAGGAAGGTTTGACCACCACGAACCGAAATAAGCTACAGAACCATTGAGAATAACGAAGTGTTATATATCTAATTTGTTATAGCTCACAAGTTCTCAGTAGTATCATTGATGAATCCTAAAATATGTGGAGATCACGGTCATAAGTTTACCAGTTGGAGGTGTTCAGTCATTAAGGCTGACGTAATTCACTGGCGTATAATTTGCCACTCATTTGGTTTCAGGTGAAGCCTAAAGATATAAGAACAGAACTTGTGAACTATTGTAGACTATAATTCCATTGTGGGAAAAAATTGCTTTGGTAAAGTCTTACAGTGTCATACATAATAATATGTTGACGAGCAGTAAATTGTGCTCGAAACGTCATCAGTAAACATTACTATACAACACTAAGAGACTGTATCAAAATAAAATTTATCCACTAAGGGAACTCTAAAGATATCACTCGATCGATTGAGAGAACTGTTCCACCTAGAATTTCCTTGGAAATAGAGTTATTTAGCAGGCAGTGCAGGCAGTTAGCATGAGTAAGGATGTCGAAGTCAGTCAGAATCATGAAAGAAAAGTAGGCTTTCATTCCTCCGAAATCAGCGTGGGGGACTACAGTATTCACACAACACAAGGAACAAAATCCAAATTTTCGACACTAGTTTCGAGTCGGTCAGTGATTCTATATGGTTCATAGACTTGCTAGGTGCACAACAAAAGCGGGCTACTTCATAATTTAATCAACATCTGTTGAACAACAAGAAACTCTGACGGCGAATCAATCAGGAACCTGTTCAACAAGAAATATGTAGAAGGGAATGAAGATGAATGCATCGGACACACGCCTTAGAGATCTTCAAATGATATGTATGGAAGATCATCGAGTGTCACGTGAATGGTAAGAGAACAATTGACTGAGCGAGGGTGATATGGGTAAAATCGTACGAAGAGGAAATGAACGCTTAGAAGGAAGTCTTTGAACCATCGAAAAAACACTCGTAAGGAACAGAATACGATGGAGAAGTGTTACTGAAGCCGAATGATATTTCACCTTCAATAATGACTTGGCGATACATTTTTAAACCTTCGATGTTTGATTCACTGATAAACAAGTTTATTCAGAAGATAACTGTTGTTTCTGATAACTGACGACTGTTTGATTAAGTGAAGAATATCAATGAAGTCCTCATACTCCATACTCTTCATACTTCGTATACGAACGTAGACATTTCATGCCGGACTGCAGGAAACGACCTCTGCTGAAAAGAAGTTCAGAGAGAATCACGATGAAGTTATTAATAATATTAATAATTCTCAAACGGAAATAAAGCATATTCTACAGGCTAGAACATGTACCGGACAGCTGTTTCTCCCTAGTTTTGGGCTCTTCGTCAGTACGCAGCCATAGGGGTTTGAACCCGAAACCTTCTGGTTACAGCAGGTCGGGAGTGAGTACAAATACTCGCCAGTGATAACATTGGCTAGTGGTCACGCTATATCATGAATTAGCAGAAGTTGAAATTCATCACCCATTGGATGGTATACGAGGTTGCCTTGTAGCCAGAAGGTTCTGAGTTCGAAACCTGTCGGTGTGTGTGTGCCACTGACGAGCCTAAAAATAGGCTGATGCAATAGCTATTCAGTACTCCCAGCTGGTTTTTCAATGGTTCTCTAACCAAAATCAGCTGATGGTGAAATCCAGTAACCAATATTTATACATAATTATGACCACTGTGTGTCGGTGGCACAGTGGTTAGGACTCTCGCCCACCATGCACATGGTCTGAGGTCTGATCCCCTGCAAACGCACACCTGATATCTATGGTCGGTCTGTAAAATTTGGGCTACCGATATCACATTCTGAAAATTCCATACCTGTACCAAAAATACAGTGTGGAATCAAGCTGTAATAAAAAAAACAACACCAAAACTATTATGAGTATGAGTAATCTCAATGTTGAATGAATACTGGTTGATCAAATTGTAATTTCGTACACATCAGACTAATATTCAGTGATGTCATAAACTGGTACACTATCTGACCACTCTTAGTTTTCTTTGAACTGCATCCCGAATTTCTTAACATTCACCTATGCGAAAGACAGTGATTGGGAGCGCAAAGACGGAACTGAGGTGGAGATTCATAACTTGACTAACATTTATTTCACTTTGGACTCTTTATTTGGATTCTGCAGGCAAAACCATAAAACAAACAAGGAATCTATATCCGGGGATAGATCTCCTGCTTTTGATAGTCAAAGACAAGGAAGAGGAAAATTGCAGCATGTTCGCCATCATTTTAGTTTTTAAGTTAAGTGATGACGTCTTCAGCCAGGGATTCAGATGATCTGTCAGACTCCACTCACAGAGTTGTGGTGTACCAAGAGATGCTAATGCAATACCACTGTCCTTCACCCCAAGAACTCATACCATAGGCCTTCCACTCATTATTAAGGCTGTTGAAGAGTGGAAGGTTTGTGAGCTGCTGGGATGACATTCTTAGTATGTGTCCAAGACATCAGAGTTGGTATCGAAGATAAAACATCCTGTTAAACCTCAGGACCTAACTTGCAGTGCCACCTGATAGAACTATCCCACAGGCTAAGAGATAGATGAATACACAGAGCTGCTGCACATTCCCAGTTAGAGGATGTCAGATTTCACGTGTATATAACAAGAATGAGCGTTGAAAACCTCACTTCTGACGACCAGACTAACTTTGCAACGGCCGTAAATGTGGTCGAAATTCGTGCTTACCGTCTTGAGTTCATATGACTTCAGATTTTATCTATCACACCATCACCAGCACTAAAAATCTACCTAGTTAAATAGAGTATATATGTATATATATAAAGCTCATTATGACTTATATGATCACTTTTACATAATTATTTTATAGAAATTGGGTCACAGATTCACTGATTTTTCAAGACAGTATGAACTGTGCTGTTGCAAAAGCAATGAAATCAGGAAAGTGGTATCCAACAGCATGTCGACGACGTTTCTTTTTTGTCTGTCACTTCAAATTTTAACTTTCCATTTTCGTACAAAGAAAAGAGAGTTGGAAATACACTTGTTAAGTATTTTTGTATGTTTAAGTAAAGGTATCATTATTTTTAATGCAATTATTGTTATCATTATTATCATTGTTTAAATTGACAAGCTACAAAATGGATTGCGCAGTGTTCAATATGATGCATACTTCATATTTCATGCTAATATTAGCATCTTCCTCAGTAAAAAGAAGTTGGCTGAAGATGCCCATTAAAATTTCCAGAAAAAAGAATATTCTTTTCGATAAATTTATCTGATATTCATTTCATTGTTATAGTGACACATTAACACATAAGAATAAATGATGTTGAGGGCGGTTAAGTTATTCTGTAGAGAGACCTAAGCATCTCCTCTTTACAACATAGCAAGCGGTTGTACTTGAAATCTCAGAATGAAGAAGTGAGTTGATATCAGGAGATTTTAATCTGAGTTGATCATCTATAAAGGATTTGATGTACTGGTCTGTCACTGAACACTGTGTTATTAATAGGGATCTTCTAACCCAGTCGATTAAGTCTTCGATGTCATCAGCTAATCAGATGACTTACACTGTCCAAAATGATCAATATAATTCAATCAAAATACAAGCGAAATACGTTCATCGTCGTCTGAAGAACAATCAGTTTAGAAAACTAATATTATATGGATGGGAAATAACTACAAGCTCCAGCATTCTATCGAAGTCTGCTCTCGTGATACCACGCCAGTAGGGATTAAGACGTTGAGGAGTTGCAAAAACTGGCGGTCCAGTAGCTTCGGTATGATGAATCATGTTGTACTTCAGCTTCGTTTCCCAAAAAACGGATTGAGGATCAGTGAATTGGTTCCCTAAATGTCTATACGTGGATGTTGTTGTGAGTCTGACCATTAGGTTAAAGCATGTTTCACGGTCGACTGTACGAGCAATGTACGCTTTGCTGAGCGAGACTATCAATTCGTGACATAGTCTACCAGTAATCTATGATGCTGTAAAAAATGAATAGCTGGATTCACGATGGACCATTCGCAGTGATTATTGACCAACTGTAGGCATTCTGAAGACTGAAATCCAAAGTAATGCGTTTACGTTCATATGTGACAATACTGGACTTGTTAACATCTTGTAGAGTGACAATTCGGTCAGTAGGTTGACGCTTCAGCAAAAATGGAGGTGGGATAGTTGCTTCGGCTGCTTTGTCTACCAGGAATTTAGTGCCAACATACTGATCTGTTACATGAAGTAAACGACTGTCAGACTGTGGATTGACGATGGAAAATTTTGTCACAAATACCGATATCACCCTTACCTCTGTCTGAAAATTTCGAGGGGCGGCAACACCGTGCACTACTTCCATAATTACTGTGGTACCATAAAATATTAACACGACCTCTTGATACTCCAGAGGACCTGGAGCAACGTAAATGAGATGGCCCAATCGTGCACATGTGGTTAGTTTTGCTAACTGGCAAAGAAAGGCATCCACTTTGTGTTCCTAAGTCTGTACCCGCACCTGAGTATCCGGTATTTGTTTAGTGGAAGTGACGGTTTGAGATGTTGAACTCTCATGCGTGCGATTGGCTGTTTCAGCGAGTCTATCCAGATTACTGTCACTGTCCCCAGTAACTTGTTGTATGCTAGCAGGTAGTCGTCACGGCCACATTTGATAGTGGAGTGGTTTACCGATTTCCCCGCCCACCATGAGGTTTCGCATGTATCTCATGAGTTGCGACGTTTTATTTCACACTAAATACTTTTATTCTCATTTTGTACATGAGAGACGCCAGTTTACAGGCATCATCAATATGATAAATTACATATACGATTAGCAATCATACTTAATAATAATGTTTTAATAAAATACACATTTTTTCCTACTTGTGTAGGACACACCAAATATACAGGCATGGATAAGCATTATTTAAATTTCATAAATTTGGTTTATGGTTAAATTACATGGTTGCTGGCGTTTTTGTCTTAGGTCTGTGGGAACAATATGATAACCAGTCATTCAATGGAGCACGTCATGAAATATAGGAATATAGGAATTTCCCAACTCAACATCACTTATCAAGTGGTCTAGTGTTTGTATAAAGGAAAGTGCTAGGCGTCCTAGTGTGGTGAGAGCAGGCTGCTAGCCGATTGGTTGACACTAAGCTACGTTAATATGGGCCGTGAGAAAATATGAACAAGGCTGAGTCAACAACCAATCACAGCAAAGTTAACGTGGCAAAATATGATTCGCAGATAGAGAACTCTATTTGTCAAGGAATCCCGAAACAACCAATCAGAAGCCTGCGTTTGTCTGCCTAACTTCTGATAAACAACCAATCAGATGACTGCGCTTGTCTATAATAATGTATGTGAAATATGTATAAATACGTGTTGATTTTCATAATAAAACGATCTGTTGCCTGGCCCTTGTCTTCTGTTGTTACACTAGTAGCTCTCCTTTTAATTTATTGCGGGGGATTCCGTGTCGGAATGAAAAATGTATTAGCGTACTTGCTCGGCAACTTCGTCTGATAGTACAGTACTCAAAGTGCCGAATTCAGCTTTCTGCAAAGAGAAGTTATGGGCAGTGAAATAGCGTTTCAGTCGAGCAGACCAAATATGGGGGTCTTTGAGTCTAGAAATTGATACAGCAAGAATAATAACACTGACGGATCTGGTCTCACAGTTACTAGCATCAATGAAAGACATATTACAATTCATGAAAGTGATTCAAAAAACAAAAATGGAGAAATTTATGCAAAATGGATATATCGAAGGACAAAACAAATAATGATTATGCCTACCGCGACAGAATGCATGTTACACGCTCAGAAGGCACTACAAAATCAGTCTTAAATGTGTAGCATGTATAGGTCCGGGAGAGTTTCAGTGTTAATAATCCGACAAGTGTTTCTATACGTTCGGTTCACCAATTAATAGGATGGGAAATTTGATTCAGATTAAAATACTATGGCATGTTCACGTTTTCACATTCTACGATGTGTTAACGCTGCACATGGCCTAATATGAACAATGGTGTATTAAGAAGCACACGTGAAATCTGGTGAAAATGTGTTGTTAACGAAGTCACATTCTGAGTAGCACGAGCAAATATATAAGTTTGTAACCACGCAAAATACATATGTAACAAACGAAAATCAGTGTTCAATAATACAATGGCAAATATTTGACAAGGACATGCAAAATTGGTTTCTCTATACGTATAATATGGGCACATGAATTAGTTTCATGAGCGCACAGTTGGAGTTGATATATGGACTGTACATCCACTTTGCGCGTCCGGGACGTTACTTGTTTGTCTTACAAAATAGATGATATCATCAGCTGCCATGAGGATGAATGAAGGATCTTTGGTTGGGTTGTTTACCAACAACTGAACAACCATATGTTCCAGACGAAATAAATCATGAAGTGTTTACATGGCTCTATCACAACCTAGATATATAGGTTCAACCACAAAGTTTGCACTTATTCTGGTGTATAATATCAACACAACATGCATTTTTCTGTTGTGAGCATTATCATTATTATGCTTTGTATTTTGAGATCTTCATCTCTTTTACGTTTTGCTGCTTTTTAAACCAGTTTTCTATTTGAACTATTATGTCTTATGATTTTTTCGTCAGTGGATCCACATCTGTGTCTCGCCAAACTGGAACTTTACTTTCCTGCCAGCAAGCTAACTTTACAGGACGCTTAATCTGTCATTTTGAGTGTTGTTCTACCCGAGGAAGTCAAGCACTGTTCCGGCAACCAATAGCCCTACGATGAATTGGAAGTTACACGTTGCACATCACCATCTGACAGATGAACACTAGGCCATTCCCTAAGTAACGTTGAACGCTGACGGGGATCTTCCTCAACTAGGGTGATGTACTCACAGTCCCATTAAAGGCCGTGAAATTGACAAACGACCAATATATCAACTCAGGTTAGGACGACTCTCTAGAAACACTCAGCAAGCTCTCAATTTTGGAAATGATGGCACCATTACTGATAGGTTCCACAAGATTCCTTCCACTAAACAAGTCGTGGACATTCACATCCGTATACAGAATTTGGGAAACAAGGTAAATCCCATTCTATGTCAGTTAGGATCACTAGTCGTACTGAAACGATCAGTTCATCCTAGGAGTCCATCCCATAAACTTCGCTACCAGATGCCTAGAATGTCAAGAGGTGGTAGTAATATTTATTGGCATTATTTTACGTAAAGAAGTGACGCATGGTATAGATACCATCTCTAGCGACAGTAAGGGATATAGCGGGAAACGTAGGTACCGGCGATTCTCGATGACTTCTGTGGTTGGCAACCAACATTCAAGTAGTCGTCTGATTTATGTGACCGATAACCAATTCCTGTCTGGCACATGAACAGATGTGATTCCTTCTTATCCGTCTGCACGTGAGAGCCAGAAACCCAGCCCACCGGTAACACTGTGGGCTCTCAGTAAGTCCAGTATTGTTTCGCTTTGTAGTAACACATGCGACATTGCATTTTCGTCTTCTGGTCGTCTGCAGTCGGTCACACAATATCGCAGATGTCCGTCGACAAAAATGATTGCCGATATTTTACAACACCATAGATTATTGGTAGACTATGTCACGAATTGATAGTCTCGCTCAGCAAAGCGTACATTGCTCGTACAGTCGACCGTGAAACATGCTTTAACCTAATGGTCAGACTCACAACAACATCCACGTATAGACATTTAGGGAACCAATTCACTGATCCTCAATCCGTTTTTTGGGAAACGAAGCTGAAGTACAACATGATTCATCATACCGAAGCTACTGGACCGCCAGTTTTTGCAACTCCTCAACGTCTTAATCCCTACTGGCGTGGTATCACGAGAGCAGACTTCGATAGAATGCTGGAGCCTGTCGTCATTCGGCCATTTAATAGCTCCTGGTCTCCACCACTTCACATGTTTCTCAATAGGACTTCTGGTAACATAAAGTCGTGAGATGATTATGGAGCTCTGAACAAGCAATCAG